GAGATAAACAGAACTGACCAGATACTGTCTGTCGCTAAATCACCAGCTTATCAGAACAGCGAAGGAGGTTTCAAACGAACGGAGTGAGTGAATCAAAGTGAATGAATATTCTTGCCGCATTGAACCTATACCCAAAGACTTTGAGTATCGCAAAAAGCACTTGTGGTTCACGTGTTGTTGTTTATAGTAGGCCAGACTCTACAACATGCAAGTTGTGGGATTTAATCACCGTAGAAGGTATTCATTACCGAAACATATCACAAATAGTTTTTTATATTTTTTAAAATTATTGTGTGGGAGGGGGGGGGGGGCAAACACCACCCACTGCCCCCCGCCCCCACGTTTTTGTCGCGTCATCATGACGTCACATCGTAGATTTATATAACTGAGATGTTGTGTGCTAGATTTTGGTTATGTGTTACTGACAGACATGAATAAATCGCACTTTAAGATATAAGTTGTCTATAGAATATGGGACTGTCTCCTAAAGCCGCGTTTACACGATACAGTCGCCTAATGCAATATATCATCCTCGATATCCTCAGTGATATCGTTTCCTTTCAGTTCACTATCCCCTGGTTCCATCACAGGGAGTGGACGAAGGGAAGTAACTCACATTTTACTATGATCGCCGAATCGTTGTAGGAAACTTTCTCAAATATTTTTGGGCATCTTTTTGATGTTACATATCTCGCAAACCTTCTCATAATCGAGCGTACAAGCTGCTGGATTGTGGTGAACGTAAACAAGGACGCTAAGACTGATATGTTTTTTTATTTGTTCGTAGAATCATCCTACTTGGCCAATGAAATCCCCAAGGGCAGATAATTCGTGAAAGTTCGTGAATGGACCCAAGGGTTAGTGGAGTAGATCAGGGAATGGACCAATACCATTTGGGTACAGAGAATGGGAACATATCGGAAAATGACGTCAAACGCACGCGCGCCTGCTGCTTCATTTTTTCATTTTAGTAACTGAATAAGATGGCGTCGTTTGAAGAATAAAGTTTAAAAAGGGTAATTTTCATGTCGCAGGTTCTACAAAAGTTCATGTTTCGTATACAGAGTTATCATAGAGCGAGTGTAAGTATTACCAAAGCTGTCAGAGACTGGTGGCTTAAACCGGATACACAGGAGCAAAACAAACAATGCGCATGTCAATATATTCAGAGTTATCTCCTCCCCTCTATCAAATCTCACCTAAACCAGATTACGTAACTTATATTATATGACGTCACTTAAATTAATTCTCATACTTGTTTTGCTTTAACAAAATTAATCCAATAATAAAATTAAATTACAAACAATTTTGAATTTCACATGTGACAACAACCAGTTTTGGTCTAGATCTACTCAGGTCATGCCTGTTACTTACTAGATACTCAGTCGCGAATAGAGTGAGAGGACGTAGAAGTAGTAGAAGAAGCCATCCTCAATTAAAATTAGCAAAAAAAATATATTTTTGCCAATCGTATGACGTCATCTAATATAACGCAATTTGATTGATCCGTCGGATGAGAATAGATTTGGTTCTATTCATGCAACGCAAGCTATCCACCCGACCATTTGTCTGATAAGTTGGTCGGATACGACCCTTGCATTCGACCCTTGTATGGATTGGTTGTATTGTGTAAACATAGCTTTAAAATGACATTTTAACCTACCATTAAATTGCTCCCAATTTAACCAACAATAAATATAATATGAACTATTTTTTTTTATTATCAACTTAAAGGAAAATGCTGGTGTCCACAAAATTTACATACATGTATATGATTGACAGAAATAGTTAAATATATTCCTTTAATACCGGAATCTCTAATCGGTAATATTCGGTGTCGAATTTACCAACAGACTTGAAAGGATGAAACCTAAGGCTTCAAGATCTAGCGAACAGAGGCATATTTGCCTATTAGCTGAAGTCTATGTCCTCGAGATCTGGGATGCCCACGTCCAACTTGACAGTGTATCCTATTTTTAACACTGCCATAAGACTACGTGTACTGTCGTCTTGGACATCCGCCAGCACCCTCGGCTTGGTTCATCCGTCAGTACCCTCGGCTTAAAACATCCGTCATCAGTCTGGGCTTAAAACATCCGTCATCAGCCTGCATGGGCTTGGTTCATCCACACCCTTGGCGTGGTTCATCCGTCCGCACCTTCGGCATGGTTCTTCCGTCAGTACCGGTGGCTTGGAACATCCGTCAGTACGCTTGGCCTGGAACATCCGTCAGTACCCTCGGCCTGGAACATACGTCAGTACCCTCGACTTGGCCCATTTGTGTTCAAAACACACCTTCACCATCTTTTAGTTTCGGGGAGGGGTGGGTTGGGAGAGACCCCACAAGTCGAATAGTCTAGGTCCTCTGTTCATCTAAACCCGTCACTGGTAACCACAGATTCCGGAAGTGACGAACATAAAGGAAATGAGCTACTCTCACCGAATGACATAACAACGATCTCTATGTTAAAATTATATTTGCAATGTGTAAAGAGTTTTATATACAAAATTGTGGACACCAACCTTGTCCTTTGATGTAACTATATATTATAACCACTGAAACATTGTTCTTTAATATAACTATATACCATTAAAACATCAATTACTTGGATAATTTGTGAATAATTCATCATTTTTCAGAGCTTTAAATATTATCAGTGGATATATCTAACTCAGTTAAAATTTGTTGAAAGGCAGGTGTAGTCTTTTCATTAAAGTCGGTGACGTCATGGTATGGTATTATTTACTTCAATAGGAATGTCTTATATAAATGTGCAGTCATCAGTGACAGTCAGTCAGTCTATCAGTGATATCGCTGACGAGTGTTGTCTAGGGAACTTGTTAGAAATGAAATGAAATGGGGTTTAACGTCCTACTGTTTTTCTCATAAACTGGACTAATGAAGACGGGCATACGCCATACAGTGTGCTATGAGGGAAATTTTGCCCGGGCAGCGGCGCTACGGCCTACTCTTATATCGAATTCCAACTGCCAATGGATCTTGTACGTGCAGGCCAATATGTACACGGGACCTTGGTTTTTCGGCCCATCCTAACGACTAGACAGCTGTCCTTGTCAGGCCCTCCGTCCTGCATCACTGACAAGGGGAAACCACGCGAACTTGTTAGAGAAACCAAACTTAGATTGGTGACGGGGTTTCCTCTTCTTCCTTGGGGCTTAACGCTCGGTGCCAGTGGGAGTCACGAGGGCTAAGTGGGTAAGACGCTGGCTCGCTAGCCTGGAGTTCGCGTGTTCGATCCCTGAATAGTCCGATTTTCGGACGTGGTTTCCCCTTGCCAGTGGTGCAGGACGGAGGGCCTGACACGGACAAACTGTCCAGTCATTCAGTTGAGACGAAAAACCGAGGTCCCGTATATACATTGGAATACACGTAAAAGATCCCTTGGCAGTTGGAATTCGATATAAGAGTAGACCATAGTGTCGCTACCCGAGCAAAAATTCACTCATATCCCAGTGTATGAACTATGCCCGTCTTCATTAGCCCAGTCTAAGCAGAACATTAAGACGTTCGCGTTGAGTCAAGTTGCGTGGTTTCGATTCCCCGCTTGTACGGAGCAGAACAGTAGGACGTTAAACCCCATTTCATTTCATTTATCAGAGGTTCAGCTTCCACTATAATGAACCATGATTTGACATTTTACAGGTTCATCTTCCAAAGTATTGTAGTTTCCATGGGATAGACCAAAAACACGATAATTTAATGGGTTTGTTTTTAGGCTGTGTACCGTTTATATGGGGTTGGGGGGGGGGACTGGGGATGGCCGAATGGTTAGCGCATGTGCGTAGAATCATAATGTCTGTCATTGAATCAACTAGCGTGTATCGATTCCCCGGTAGTACTTGACAAGGGGTAGGGTTTTTCTCCTGGTCCTTCCGTTTCGTCCCACAAGCGAATTATTGAAATAAAATTGAACCATATGTTAGTTCCAAAATGACCTAATTTATGTCGAGTGGACGTTAAACCCCATGTTGTTAAGAAGAGCACATATGTCTGATATATCTGTACATGGGTGGGGGGGGGGGGGGGGTAGCGCGTGGGCGTTGTATCATAAGGTCTGTCATTGAATGGCGTGGTTTCAACTCCCCGGCTGTACGTGCCAAAGAGTAGGGTCGCCTGTCCAACCTCATGGGTTTTCTCCGGGTCCTCAGGTTTCCTCCCACTGCTAAAGATCCCTACGCCCCCCCCCCCCTCCTCGTCTCTCATATCTCTACATTTAATTCTCTCTCTCCCTCTTTCTCTCTCTCTGTCTCTCTCTCTCTCTCTCTCTGTCCACCTCTCTCTCCCTCTCTCCCCCTCTCTCTCTCTATCTCTCTCTCTCTCTCTATCTCTCTCTGTCCACCTCTCTCTCCCTCTCTCCCCCTCTCTCTATATCTCTCTCTCTGTCTCTATCTCTCTCTGTCCCCCACTCTCTCCCTCTCTCCCCCTCTCTCTCTATCTCTCTCTCTCTCTGTCTCTATCTCTCTCTGTCTCTATCTCTCTCTGTCCACCTCTCTCTCCCTCTCTCCCCTCTCTCTCTCTATCTCTCTCTCTCTCTCTATCTCTCTCTGTCCACCTCTCTCTCCCTCTCTCCCCCTCTCTCTCTATCTCTCTCTCTCTCTCTGTCGCTATCTCTCTCTGCCCCCCACTCTCTCCCTCTCTCCCCCTCTCACTCTATCTCTCTCTCTCTCTCTGTCTCTATCTCTCTCTGTCCCCCACTCTCTCCCTCTCTCCCCCTCTCTCTCTATCTCTCTCTCTCTCGTAAAGAATGTGAAGTCAACAACCAGCAACAACCAGCCCTTGCTATGCTTGAAAAATAATTTAGAAATAAATTAACCACAATGTGAGCTATTTTTAAAAAAAAAAAATAAATAAAAAAAAATGATGTGCAACCAATATTAGTGAACATTCACCCCTGTCTATTTACCAACGTGGGTTGGTTGAATAAGTCGGTGAATATTTGATTGACACCTGCATATTATAATTACAGGTAAATACAGGTAGACGCAGGTAAATCGGGTGTTTAGCCAGGTAGATCAGCCGTCAGACGTGAAAGAAGTAGGAGCAGGTATCAGATATAATGGCAGGTGACATCCAACCTGAACTTTTCTCTGATCCTTTGGCTGATCCTATTGTCAAAATCACAGATGCTTCTAAAAAATTAAAGGTAATATAGCTTTATTTAATATTGATAATAATTATTATAAAAATTAGACAGTTGATATTCGCCAACAGTGTTTGTTTTGGCTACCCTTCTTTAAAAATAGACAATCGACGGACCCGTGAGACAACGGGCGGACCGGTGAGTCAACGTGCGGACCCGTGAGACAACAGACGGACCCGTGAGACAATAGACGGACAGGTGAGACAATAGACGGACAGGTGAGACAACCGGCGGACCCGTGAGACAACCGACTGACCCGTGAGACAACGGGCGGACCCATAATACAACCGGCTTACCCGTGAGACAACGGGCGGACCCGTGAGACAACCGGCGGACCCGTGATACATCAGACGGACCCATGAGACAACAGACGGACCCGTGTGACAACCGAGGGATCCGTGTGACAACCGGCGGACCCGTGAGCGAAGGGGCGGACCCGTGATACAACCAACCGGCGGATCCGTGAGAAATCTTGCTCATTCCGTGATAAATCAACCAATGAGATAAACCGTACTACCATTTTGTTCATTTTGGCCAAAAATGCTGACCTGACGAGATTTAGCGTGATCGGAGTAATGGTTCTTGAGATATGGATCATTAACGTTGTTTAATTTCGCTTAAATGGTCATAGGTCACTATCTGAAATATCTCACGTACTTTTAGTCCAATAAACTAAAATTCTGATTTAACGTAAACCAAAAGCAGCAAAAGAGAAGGGAGTACGGTTTACATTTGGCTAAATCTAATTGTCAAAGTTAGCTCAAATTTTGTCAAGGTCGCTGAGGTGTAAATAAGGTCAGGGCACGTGATTTTTGGCGAGATTGTTGGTTAGGGTTAGGGTAAGCATTGGGACTAGGTCCTTGGTTAGGGTTAAGTTGGGACTAGCGCTAGCCCTGTTTACATCTCATGACCTATGACGAAAAATTGAGCTGGCCTTATCATTTAGCACTAACCGTTTACATTTTCCAACCACAAACACTTTGTGAACTTCTTGTTCTTGTGGCGAGGCCGTCAATTCATGTATAATCGACCTGATAATTACCATGCGTGTTCTTAGGACATGACGTCAAAGTTCCAATATGGCTATAATGACGTCATTGTCGGTTTTCAGTGCCCTCTTAATTGTATCTGAGAATTCTCTGTCATGCGATTCCTTCGTAGGATTACATTTCACAAATTTACGACTGTTCGGGACCAGTCTTGGTTTTTCATTAAATGTCTTCTGACACTTTTATTTACCTTATTACGTGTATAATGTATTTTTTTCTGATAAGGCACAGGGTCACCCGTCCTACCTCGTGACTTTTCCTCCCACATATTAAAACCTCTAAGCCCAAGCGACATATTCAAATATAATCAAACCATAGTTAATGTGTTAATCGCAAATTGACGTTAGTGTCGAGCGGACGTTAAACCCCATTTCTACCTCTCGCGCATACTAACGAAGATAGTTCGTTTATATGGAATTATGAGCCCTCTCTCTCCCTCTCTCTCTCTCTCTCTCTCTCTCACACACACACACACACACACACACCCAGACGGGGATAGTTAGTTCCTTTATGTATTGTTTAATGGTCGAGAGCGAGACATTAAGTAACATATTGTAACAACAAGAGGACCGTCAGGTCCGAGTGTTTTTACAATATATTACGCAATGTCTCAGCTCGAGACCATTAAACATCTTAAATGAAATGAAATGAAATGGAGTTTAACGTCCTACTGTTCTGCTCCTAACCTGGGCTAATGAAGACGGGCATACGCCATACAGTGTGCTATGAGGGAAATTTTGCCCGGACAGCGGCACTACGGCCTACTCTTATATCGAATTCCAACTGCCAAGGGATCTTTTACGTGCACGCCAATGTGTACACGGGACCTCGGTTTTTCGTCCCATCCGAACGACTAGACAGCTTTCCTTGTCAGCCCCTCCGTCTTGCATCACTGACAAGGGAGAACCACGCCGGAAAATCTGGATGAACTTTCTCGGCCAATGCAGGGATCGAACACCCGACCTCCAGGCTAGCGAGCTAGCGTCTTACCCACTTAGCCACGTGGTCCCCAAACATCTTAAAATACAGACACTCCGCACGTGCGTTTACAGTGAAATACGCCACTCGAGTCTAATATTTGACAAGGTACGATTGGCAAGTTGCCCGTACGATTATTTGAAATAATGGTACGCCAACATCAAAGGGTGACGTCACATCTGTATTTCAAATGGAATTATGATCTAAAGCGCACGTGTTAATCCACTCGGTCACCCTCCATATATGGAAAAAGTATTAAATATACTGTAATAATGATATTAACTGCGCGTCTGTTACGGATGATGTATTTCTGACTATTTAACCTAGTTAGATTATAACGTGATTAACATCTACATAGCCTATATTAACTAAAAATTAAACCTTGGCTGTCTGTCTAGCAGTTAACCTAGTTAAATCATGTTCTCATTATATCTACATAGCCTACATATATGAAGTTAAGGGGGAGGTGGGGGATGACCGAATGGTTAGCTCGTGCGCGCTGTATCATAAGGTCTGTCATTGAGTCAACTGGCGGTGTTTCGATACCCCGGTTGTACTTGACAAGGAGTAGGGTCGCCTGCAAGCGAATTATTCAAATAAAATTGAACCATGTTAGTCCTGAAATGACCTGGTTTGTGCCGATTGGACGTTAACACCCCCCTCTCTCCCTCTCTCTCTCTTTCTCTCTCTCTCTCTCTCTCTCTCTCGCATTGACCTAGAAAGTTCATCGGGATGTTCCGACGTGGTTTCCCCTTGTCAGTGTTGCAAGACGAGGACCTGACAAGGAAAGCTGTCTAGTCGTTCGGATGGCATGGAAAACCGAGGTCCCGTGTATAAATTGGCGTGCACGTTAAAGATCACTTGGACTTCGATATAAGAGTAGGCCATAGGGCCGCTGCCCAGGCAAAATTTTCCTCATAGTACACTGTATGGCGTATACCAGTCTTCATTAGCCCAGTCGGAGCAAAACAGTAGGTCGTTAATTAAACCCCATTTCATTTACGTTTATATGAAGTTAAAGTTATATATTTATTTATAGAAAACAATCACGTCACGTCATTGTTAAAGTGGCAATATTGAGCATTTAATAAAGCTGCCCATCCAAAGAATTTCACGATATGACAGCTGGTGTTGGATTCTTTATATGGACTCCAGAGGATGTAGAAGACTGTCAAATTTTCCATTCATCCGATTTGATTAAAATACAGGGGCCTGTTTCACGAAATTTTAGCTAAGATAAAATCCAAATTTTAGTAATTTGATTGGATAATATTAGATTGATTTTAGTGCTTAGCCAATCAAAATTGAAGTATCTACTAAAATTTGGATTTTATCTATAGTTAAGATTTCGAGAAACAGGGCCCAGATCTATATTTCGTTTCGTTTTTTATATACTTTCGATGGCCTACACCAGACGAAGATCTGACCGGTTGTACTGGAAGGTCGCGTCGGGGGCCGTACGAGCGGCTTTTGAACCTTTTGATTTTGATTAATCAATCAGCGTTGACGTGTCTAGTGGTTTACCCACCGTAACAGACCGTTTCATTGGCTTATCCCTCACTTTAACCAAACGCCGGTAATATATCAACTTTTCCAGGTCCTAGTGTGGTAAAACATGTAATACGAAATTTTTAACAATAAAAAAACGAAACGAAATAGGATCTGTGTTTTAATCAGATTGCGATTTATGCTTTCTTTGTAAGAACTGAGCGGAAAGAAACGATCAATAGGCTTATATTTCTCAGCGTAGTTTGCTAGAGGGGGGGGGGGGGGCGAATTCTCCAAATTAGATAATGGGCGTGGTGTTCGTGACACAGTAATATCAATCTAATATAATCATATATTTTCAATGTCGAATATGACATTCACCTAGACTGCAACGAGATCGCATCATGTTGTTGATGAATGTCTGATTGGTAAGTATATTTATTGACAGATCGAGAAACTGTAATTTACTAAACTAGAGATCTGAATTTCTGTTGGTGTTTATGTTTTAATTCTAAAATTTAGAATGTCCCTTTAAACATTCGGGGATTACGGTGGCTAAGTGGGTAAGACGCTGGCTCGCTAGCGTGGAGGTCGGGTGTTTGATCCCTGCATTGGTCGAGAAAGTTCATCCAGATTTTCCGGCGTGGTTCTCCCTTGTCAGTGATGCAGGGCGGACGACCTGATAAGGACAGCTGTCTAGTCGTTTGGATGGGACGAAAAACCGAGGTTCCGTGTACACATTGGCGTGCACGTAAAAGATCCCTTGACAGTTGGAATTCGATATAAGAGTAGGCCGTAGAGCCACTGTCCGGGCAAAATTTCCCTCATAGGTACACTGTAGGGCGTATGCCCGTCTTCATTAGCCCAGTTCGGAGCAGAACAGTAGGACGTTAAACCCCATTTCATTTCATTTCTTTAAAGGCTCAATACCACTCTTGTTGTAACTGAATAATATGTCCCAATCTTTATTCTGGTCAACAAATTGTACTATTTTAGAATATTTCAATTAATTGATGATACAAATTTCATCTTAACACACCTTATTTAAAAATTTTGAAAAATTAAACATAATGGTTTGAAATGTCTAACGTAAACCTTTTCAAATGAAACTTCGATTTAAACATATTTTCGAACCCTCTGGACAAGTAAAATAGGATGTAATGGATAATTTACACAACAGGTAGGACACTTAAACATCTAGTACTTAGATAGAGATATTATTTATTTTCTGGGGCTTTCAAGCCAGCAAGAGTGTTATTGTCCCTTTAACATTTGCCGATTATTGATGTTTACTTCCATGTTGTGAAAGCTAATTTCACCAGAATTATGGTGCTAACACCAGAACGTGTCTAATCGTCACTCGCTTTCTCTTTTCTCCGAGCATCTTGTGGACAGTTCTTTTGTGATCGGAATCCTCCGTCGATCATAACTCGACTGGACACCGGGAGGTGTTTTAACGATCGGAGTTCGTCGTCCATATCCGCAACTTGGCTGGACACTGGGGGATGTTCTAAGTATCGGAGTCCGTCGTTCATATCCACAACTTGACTGGGCATCGAGTGTTGTTTTAGACGGAGTCGACCTTTCTGTACTTAAAATGTTTATTGCACGGTATTCTCGTGTTGCAGATCCTGGGATTTGTACTGGAAATGGGTTTGTTTGATGAACTGGAACAGAGTTCTAATTGGGAGACTGTTCCAACCCTGGCTATTAAACTAGGGTATGACAGGGATGCTTTACAGAGAATATTGAATACGCTTGTCTGTTTCAAATTACTTGACAAGAAAACAACTAACGGTATGTGCATGTAATATTACTTTACTCGAATGTTGATAATATTAACCATTTTAGACACCCAAATAAAGTCTAAAAGTCCGTATAATTTCATCCAATACGTCAAAATACATGTTTAGAGGCTTAAACATTTCAATCAAATACAGGCATGACTGAGATATCTAATCCACCAGAATCACATGGGCATATAAAACAGCGGAAGGGGTCAAGATATCGGCTTTAGGGGCTCTGACACGTGGGAGGGGTTCATTGTCAAATTTGACACTTTAACGAAGGGTTGATGAAAACTGCCGCGTGCTGCTTTAACGTATCCATGTTTGCTTTCCTATCGGTTCTTGCATAAGATTTACTGTTTAGCGTATCTTTGGTTTAGTGTGTTACGGTTAATTTGATCGGGAGACGTGTTCGTCGACGTCAACGTCAACCAAAAACACTGCAAGAATTGGCCGTGGCACTGGAAGAGGAGTGGGTCAGATTGTCCCAAATCGTGATTGGACGGTTGGTTAGGGCATGCCATGACGTATTGCTGAATGTCTGAGGATCGGCGGAGCAATTACTCATTATTAAGACAAAAATCAAAAAAATCCATTTTCACTTTTGACAGTGTATCTCTTTGCGAGTGAAATGGGGCCGTCAGATAAGCCGCCCACGCCCATATTAAATTTTTTATGTTCATGTAAAGGCAATTAGTCTGTTATTAACATACACTGGTTACCTCTATTAAAAACAGCAGTGAATTTCCGCAGTTTTGTATTGTTTCTGAATATTCCCTACCTTTTTTGAAGAGTATATAATTATATAGTACACCTGTTACCTGTATATATAACACACCTGTTACCTGTATATATATATTACACACCTGTTATCTGTATATACAGTATAACACACCTGTTACTTGTATATATAACACACCTGTTACCTGTATATACAGTATAACACACCTGTTACCTATATATATATAACACACATGTTACCTGTGTATATATAACACCTGTTACCTGTATATACAGTATAACACACCTGTTACCAGTATATATTACACACCTGTTACCAGTATATATAACACACCTGTTACCTGTATATATATAACACACCCGTTACCTGTATATATTTGATATATTCGTGTATTACAGGATGTACAGTATACCACAACACACCTGCAACCAGTAAATACCTGATATCATCCAAGAAACCCAGTCTTATACATTTTATTCTGAGTGAAATCAACATGGTGATGGCGATGTATGATACTTTACCTGCGGTTCTTAGACAAGGTAACAACTCAGGGTCTTCGATTCTGTAAAATGGGAACTGACAGATACTGATGGAACATTGTTAGAATTACTGACATTAGCATATTGATGATCACTGTTAGAATTACTGACAGATACTGATGGAATATTGTTAGAATTACTGACGGATTTTGATGGAATATTGTTAAAATTTGTTCTAGTTTTAACATTATTATATTGCACAACCGTGATTCAGATCGAGTATGTTCTACACAGTGGACGATTTCTCGATGTCGTTGGGAGGGAGAGACCCTAAACCCCACGTGATGTTGTTTTTCATGCATGATTATATATTAGATCGAGCATGTTCTCTAATGCGAGAGAGAGAAATGAGATTTAACGTCCACTCGACACAAACTAGGTCATTTCTGGACTAAAATATGGTTCAATTTTATTGCAATAATTCGCTTGCGCGTAGGGGTCTTTAGCAGTGGGAGGAAACCGGAGGACCCGGAGAAAATCAACGAGGTTGGACAGGCGACCCTAATCCATGTCACGTACAACCGGGGAATTGAAACCACGCCAGTTGACTCAATGCCAGACCATATGATACAACGTGCACGTGCTAACCATTCAGCCCCCCCCCCCCCCCGAGACCGTAATCCATGATTGACTTGATAAAAGTTGGATTCATAATATAACTTTCAATGTCAATCTGTTTAAAACACAGATCTTATTTCGTTTCGTTTTTATAGTTTAAAATTTCGTTTTACTTGTCTTTGCTACACTAGGATATGGAAGAGTTTTTATCATTGACGTGTTCTGAATGGTGTCAGGGATAAGCCAATGAAACGTCTTGTTACGGCGAGCTTTAGGTGTGTTTTGCACGGAACTGTGGGTAAATCCACTAGTAACATCAATGCTGATTGGTTAATCAAATGTCTGACGTCATAGGGTCAAAAACCGCTCGTATGGCCTCTGACACGAACTATCGCTACAACCGGTCAGATTTTCATGTAGTAGAGGCCATCTAAAGTATAAAAAACGGAACGAAATATAGATCTGTATTTTAACCAGAATGCTTTAAAGGACAATATTGGTGCCAGTCTGACAATTAATAACAGTAATTGAATGTCATTAGATAAGAAAACACGAGAAAAAAGAGAGATATCCGTACATTCACTATTCACTTGTGTTCTTCATTCTATACTTAATAAAAACACGGTAATGCACGGACTTTTTCTATTTGTCTTTCATGTTCTCTTATCTAGTGATAGTCAATTCTTTTTATGAATTGTCAGATATCCTTTTACAGTCTCACACAACAACTTTTGGTATTCGAAGGAATTATTAGTGAGCAGAATTCGCCCATGTATCTGTTATCACTCGTCACTTCAGTCAGTTATGTAGAGGGATAACTCGTGTTTTCCTTTTGCGTTCGTCACTTCTGATTGGTGAAACATTGATTACACATCTATCGTAGCAATGATCTCTGTGATAAAATAATATTTGGAATGTGGTAATGACTGGCACCAATATTTTCCTTTAAATGTGAAATAAAGAACGATTACTGGCGTCCATGTATAGAACGTGTTCGTGTTTTAAAGGGACGACGGATAACATCACCCAAGTCTTTGGACGTGGTAAGATGGATGAGATACATATGACGTCATTAACAAAACAACTGAACAGAACCAACCTAGAAACCATGAAAGTACCGATGGAGATTCCACTGGATAAAAACCAAAATCCTGTTCCAACAAACGACAAGCCAAAGAAAAAACCTTCACCAATAAATTTTATGTTAGCCATGAATGGTTTCATCGCTCCAACGGCATCAATGATTACTAAAGCGTTTGATCTCAGCGGACATAAATCACTCCTAGATCTTGGAGGTATTTCTTACTTTTAACTCATATATTAAAGGGGTGGGGTCTGCATAACTTTAACTCATTTGGTAATGTGGTGGGGTCGGATCAGGGACATGGTGGTTCCTCAGGTCTTTCGGCTGCGACGATAAAATGAGTTTCCATGTACACTTTGGTGTGCACGTAAAAGAATCATTGGGAAATGGAATTCCACGACGAGTAGGAGACGTTTAGCACAAGCAGGACGTTAAACCCCCATTTCATTACGCACATGTCAATGTGTACACGGGACCTTGGTTTTTCGCCCCATCCGAACGACTAGACAGCAGCCGTCCTTGTATATTTGACTATGCTATATTTCAGGTGGTTCCGGATATCTGGCAAGTGAATTTGTTCGAGTCTACCCTGGTTTGAAAGCTATGGTATTTGATCTACCAGACACAATAAAAATCGCAAGACTACAACAAGATGAAGAGATTATGTCCAATGTTTTATTTGTTGAAGGTACGTTCATCAATTTATTCGACATTTTGAATTTTAAAACATTAAAGTTACTGTGATTCATTGGCATTTTTAGGAATCTGTCACTTAATCCCCTACTTCTCGCAGTGTTTCGTTTGATTAGATCTAACCCTACGCAAACACTGCTGTAATGAAGGCAAATTTCTGTTCCAAATTATGACTGGTCAATAGTTAACAACCAATAGCTAACTGCGTAGCAATATCATTCGTGTTTAAACAGAGCTCCAGATATGCTTACATAACGTTACATAAACCCTATTAACCCGTGCATAGCAGAATATTGCAGAATATTGACAAACGAGGCTATCAAAACCACTACATTGTAAACAATTCTGCTTGGAGACGAACAATACTTTCGCTGTTTTTAATACCTTAAATCACTGTCCAGAGTTTTAGGGAAGACCCCAGATTAAACGAAGGGCTACCATGTTGCTGTACTTGGGATAGATTTGATTGAACGGGAAGAATAGACACACTCCCTCTAAAGCTTAAGTATCAGAAGCCAATCCAGCAATGACCAGAGATGGATTTCTCGGGCCATTTCTTCGGGAATATGACTTAATCCGCGCTAAAATGTACTCAAATTGGTTATTTTAAGAAAACAAAATCAGAAAATCGGTCTTTCTGGCAATCATTTAGGTTGAAAAGAGGCCCATCAAAAATTTCAGGGCATGTCATAGTTGGAGCTTTCCGGTCAAGACAGCATCATTTAAGAAGTGGATGCAGACAAATTATCACTTCTTTATAATTTCTGAACGGAATCGAAATCTTGTGAACTATTGTAGTTTGCAACGGATTCTTCTACTTGTGGTTTCCCCTTGTCAGTAGGACACGAGAGTCTGACAAGGACAGCTGTCTAGTCGTTTGGATGGGACGAAAAACCGAGGTTCCGTGTACACATTGACGTTACCTTGGTCCACCATTTATTGATTTAATTTTAAATGGACGACTGTTTAAATCCAAGTTGTATCTAAGCCATCCAAGGGTCTACAGAGTTGATTTTGAGCTTGTCGTGTAAATAAAGGTCTAAATAATAATATTATAACATCTAAAACCTAGATAAAGCTAGACGTGCAATAAGCAGATTTAGCTCTAGCATAATGTAGTATGTTATCGTCGGGTATTATTGTTGTATTTAGGTGATTGTCCATTGTTGTAGTTAGGTGATCGTCCGGGTATAAGGGGAGTAACTCTTTAATAAGGGACGTAACTCTCTATTATTCAGGTGATTTCTTCAAAGATAATTTCCCACCAACTGACTTGATAGTTTTAAGTCACGTGATTCACAACTGGGAAAGGAACAAAGTTGATGTCATTCTGGACAAAGCTTTTAACCGATTACCATGTGGTAAGTTTACCCTGTTTAACTGGTTACCTGATATTAAGGAGAGTGATTAGTTGTGTGTATGGGAAATGGTTCTGAAGATCAATAACTGCATGTAATGGGGTCATTCCTGGTTTGATAAATGATAATAAACTGCCAATGACTTTATAAAGGAGAGTGATTTTCAATTTTAAGGGGAGAGAAAAAAAGAAACCTCCCCTCAGTCGACATTCAGGTGAGCGGCAGGCGCTCAAGGGCGATCACTCGCCTTAAAAAACAATGACTGATATGTAATATTGACACTAACATTGTCCTTTAACGTATTATAATAACATTTGGAGTGTGTTTAACCAAGGGGGGGGGGGGGGGTGGATGGCTGAATGGTTAGTGTGCGCGCGCTGTATCATAAAGTCTGTCATTGAGTCGACTGGCGTGGTTTCGAATCCTCGGTTGTACGTGACAAGGAGTAGGGTCGCCTGTCCAACCTCGTGGGTTTTCTCCGGGTACTCCGGTTTCCTCCCACTGCTAAAGACCCCCTACGCGCAAGCGAATTATCGAAATAAAATTAAACCATATGTTAGTCCCGAAATGACCTAGTTTGTGTCGAGTGGACGTTAAACCCCATTTCTCTCTTTCGTGTTTAACCAGTTCTGTAGTATTATAATTATATTTGGAATGTGTTTAACCAGTTCTATCACATATGTAATATTGACATTAACATTGTCCTTTAATTTTATTTAATGGCTGACACCAATATTGTCCTTTAACTTCCTATGATGGCTGACGCCAAAATTGTCCTTTAACTTCCTATAATGGTCGACACCAACTTTGTCCTTTAACTTTTTATAATGGCCGACACCAACTTTGTCCTTTAACTTCCTATTATGGCCGACTAACATTGCCGTTTAACTTCCTATAATGGCTGATTAAGCTCAAGAGAACTTTTTTTTTCAGGAGGTGAAATAATAATAGCAGAAAAGTTTTTAAATGAGGATAAGACTGGACCAGAGACCAGCATTCTATTTGATCTATCCATGTGTTTATTCTGCAAGGGAAGGGAGAGAACTCAGACAGAATATAGACAATTACTTCATAACCATGGGTTCAGAAATATTGAAGCTAAAATAATTGAAGGTGTCAACTATCATGACGTCATTATCGGCCGTAAGCCGTTTTAAAAAAGACCTTCCGCATCGGTACGAAAACGAACACCAAAACGGGTTGACGTCACAAGTACACACGAATCGATGACGTTTTCGTATTCGTTTTCGTACCGATGCGAGTGGCCCCTAAACTAAAGGGCCATTTATACTGAGTGAGAACTTCCGAACGTGACCACTGACCAATGACCAATTTGACTGTCCGTACGAATCAACATTCACAGATGAAACAGGGGCATTGAAGATTTGACCTTGTATTCCTGTTGGCCAATGATTCTGATTGGATAATTTAAAATCTTCGCGCTCAGTATAAACGACCGTTTAAGAGGAATTATGTTATAGCTAATCTGTATATTACAGGTCTTTCTTTTGCCCTCAAATATACTATAAATTATTAATCAACTCTAGACCATCGGGTCGTCACTTTTTTTAATGGATTCAAACCAGGGCCGTAACTAGCTCATAGCAACGAGGGTGTGCTGTAAAATTAACGGACAATGTTTATCTAGGGGTTTTTATGGTCGATAATTTTTTTTTGCATGGTGGGGGGGGGGGGACTTTCCCCCCCTAGTTACGGGCCTGACTGAAAAACTATCGACCTTTAACAATTTAACTTGAAAATGTATAATCTGGTTTTTTTTATCCCAACTATAGTAGTAACGAGAATTGAGACTGCGATATTCTTATCGAAACTTCAAACAGTGATAATTTTGTTCAGATTAAATAGTTTCACTGAAGTTTCCAATATATTCCCGTTTCATTAACTAATTTGTAACTTTTATAGCTTGAAATGTCGGCTCTTTATCTAAATCTTACAGGCGGTATTTTAAGAATTTACTATCGAAGTTGGGGGGTTGGATGGTCGAATGGTTAGCGCGTGTGCGCTGTATCATAAGGTCTGTCATTGAGTCAGCTGGCGTGGTTTCGATTCCCCGGTTGTACGTGACAAGGAGTAGGGTCGCCTGTCCAACCTCGTGGGTTTTCTCTGGTTCTCCGGTTTCCTCCCACTGCTAAAGATTCCCACGCAAATTATTGTAATAAAATTGCACCATGTGTTAGTCCCGAAATGACCTAGTTTGTGTCGAGTGGACGTTAAATCCTCTCTCTCCATGTTACCCGTTTTATAATTATGAATAAGGTGTTGGTTGTAATCCCAATCTGTTTAAAAGACAGATCCTATTTCGTTTCGTTTTTGATAGTTCAAAATTTCGTTTTACTTGTCTTTACTACACTAGGAACTGGTAGAGTGTTATCATTGACGTGTTCTGGATGATGAGAGGGATTAGCCAATGAAACGGTCTGTTACAGCGAGCTTTTGATGTGAGCTGTACGGAGCTGTGGGTAATCCACTAGAAACATCTGACGTCATAGGGTCAAAAGCCGCTCGTATGACCTCGTAAATCTGTATTTTAAACAGATTGGTTGTAAGATCCATATTTCGTTTCATTTTTTATACTTTCGATGGCCATCACGACGTGAAGTTCTAACCGGTTGTAGTTTGAGGTCGCGTCGGGGGTCATACGAACGGTATTTGACTCTATCGTGTCAGTCATTCGATTAGCCAATCAGTACTTTGTTTTTATAAATATAATCTTTATTCCAAACGACTTCTGTGAATTTACAAGAATGGTATTAACAATAACAAAATAACAATAAATAATATTACGATATATTTACATTATATTATTGACAATGAAATGAACAGCGGGTATTAATTATTATACAATATGATCATGTCCAGGATAATAACCCGGTTATTTAAACATACATTTTGACGTCACGTTAATAATGATGTCATTGTATTAATCATATTAAACATACATTATACAAGAGCTAAATCTGCCTATTGCAGGTCTTTCTTTGGGCCTGACATGTTATAAAAACTATTAATTAGACATTAATTAACATATCCAGACCATAATCAGCTCTCGATGTCAAGGCTTGCCTGCGATATTTGTTGGATTACAGTCCGATTTGCTGCAAAACTTTCCTTCGTGATTAACGATTAAATGGATAATCAAGACTATTAGTTTTGTCTTATCGACTTCAGTAATGATGATCGAGGCTAAGCGGAACTTGCATCCGCTTAGTTCTCGGTTCATAGTGGATCAATTTGACTGAAATTTTCAGCAAGTTGCCTTTACATTGTGTAGTTTTTAACTATTATAGTGAGAACTGCCAACTCGTTATCTAATCTCCCATAATGTATCTTTAATAAACACATACTTATGGAAAAACAGCTACTTGATTTATTTGGGCGACGTTTCGAAGAGTATTAGCTTGATAACGTTGAGAGAATACTCTTTGAAACATCGCCCAAATAAATCAAATAAGTATGTGTTATAATTTATTGCTCTATACGAGTTACTAAATACATCTCAAAGATCGCTATGCAACACGTGGTTATTTAAAATGTCCAAGTATTATAATATGAAAAGAATACGTTAAAAGCTACAGCTTTTCGCTGTCACAAGGTTTTCGACAAAGCGTGAGCGGGCTTTGGAACGAACTATCTACGAAGAAGTTGGATATGATAGGGTTCGTCCTCTTATGACTACTATGATTCCAACAAAATTTGAAAACCTTAAATTAAAAACTGTAGTCCCTATCGTGTTCACAAGGTTTTCAATAAAGGGGACACATCTATGGAACAAGAGACCGCGGAAATGTTGGCGCAGTATGACAATGAAACTTAAAGCGAATAAATCAACTGTAACGCAACCAGAACAACCCATTTTTTGTATTTTATTTTTTTATTTTTTATTATATATATAAACAATATAAATTAAAACAACTGATGATTCTATTTGATTAAAAATTGATCGATAGCTGTCTACCGTTTGTTTGCTTACTAAAAAAACGTGATTGTTGGAAAAACGATCGAAGTTGTTAAATAGGTATTATATAACATGAAAACCAGTAGACAGTCATTGAATTTGGTATAAGAGCGAGACTGTAATTATTCCAGAATAATATTAATAATGTAAATGCTGAAATAAAACAAGCGGTTGCCACGCAGGATACGCCCACATTTTGCTAGTGATGGGTAGAGAACAATCAGGGGCCATATCGACATGAACCGAGACGTGTAGGATATAAACATCTTTAAAGTTTCATCAAAATCGGATTAATATTGTGACCTCTATCGGGTCCAGAACCTTGGTATTACATACTTTTATACTATTTGCGTACAGGGAGCGGCCATTTGGTCATGCAGTTTCTCGGTCAATCATCATTACGGTGTAACGGTGATTGAGGGTTCACAAGCTCGAAATTGACTTTTCGTACAATAATTGGCCATAATCCAGGAAGTAAGTGTCCAATATGCGACAATATTAACAGGAACCGAGATCGGTGGGCTACAAACATACATTTTAAGCTTCATCTAAATGGTTTACAAATTGTGACCTATGTGATTTTTTTTTTGTATATTGAGGTGCCAAAATAAATGAAGTTACTTACCTGCCAATATCGACAGGGGGTGGGTGGCCGAATAGTTAGCGCATGCGCGCTGTATCACAAGATCTGTCATTGAGTCAACTGGCGTGGTTTAAATTTCCCGGTTGTGCGTGACAAGGAGTAGGGTTGCCTGTCCAACATCGTGGGTTTTTCCGGGTCCTCCGGTTTCCTCCCACTGCTAAAGAACCCTACGCGCAAGCGAATTTTTAAAATAAAATTGAACCATGTGTTAGTCCCGAAATGGCCTAGTTTGTATCGAGTGGACGTTAAACCCCATTTCTCGACAGGTACCTAGATCTTGGGATATAAACCTATATTACAATTCTCGTCAAAATTGTGACCTGTAAAGCGTCCCCATATAAACATGTGGACAAAATAAACGTCCACATGAAAATGTGGGCGTAGAAATAAACAATGTTACGTATCAATCCAATCGGCAAGACATTACATGCAGTTTGCTATTCCCATTAATGTGCCGATGCGTCATTTTAATTTTTGCTAAAATATCAAATTTCCCACGGCATAATTTTACATGTTAACAATTAAGAAAACCAGTCAAAATTTCGACGATAAATAATCTCCCGGTTTGGATTTACTTGAATTTATATCAGGTCTCTCAATTTGGCTCAGGGCAAATAACGATGACGGTGGACTAGTAGAATCTGCCGAGGTTTGCCGAATGGACTTACCTAGCGTAGATCGATGGAGTTTTCATGGGATTCCTATAGCGCAAAATGACGCATCGGGCCTTCAAGTTACATTTGTATCAATTCCATCGGCCATTAATTTGCTAAAACCATAAATACATAGAATCACGTATTGAATATGCTATGTATCTGGGATAAAACTATTGCTTTATAAAATATAAACATCACTTCCTCTGAATCAAAAAAAAACCCACAAAAAAAACTGACACGCGTCAGATACGGTCGGATATGTTTCGATACGACCATCAAGATTGCTACGACTGACCTCAATATATGATAAGATCTGATAGAATGAACAAAATAACTCCACGATTTCAATCTTAGCACGAATCGTGATAGTGGGAACCTAGCATAAAGCTACACACATCATTACACTGGTGCGTACACGTACACAGTGCACGCTAATGGCCACTCGGCAAACCTCAACAGATTCCAGTACTCTACATCTAATCTCGGCTGTATGACAAAGTCCGCAATTAGAACTACTTTCAAGTTCCCGGATTACAATGGCGTTGTCCATGACGACCAATGACGTGATTGATGACGACGTATTTGAAGAATGTTTTATCTTACAAAATTTTCAAAGTATGAAACTGTTTTTCTTTCAAGTTTATCCGATTTTCTTTAGACAAGGACAAATTTGCACTGAAAATTCTACACACTCTTCGAACGACGCAATTTTGAGAACTTCTTTCTAAACGCGTGCAAGTTTCCCTTATAAGTAAACTGGTGCCGCATCGCAAATGTATAGGCGTAGGTACATATCACTTACTGTCATACAGCCGAGGCTAGATGTAGGGTACCGGAATCTGCCGAGGTTTGCCGAGTGGCTAATGGCTAGACCAACCATAGGTCCACGCCTTTAAAGCAAGAGGGTGACGTGAATAATTTTAAAACGTCATCGTAGACTCGATTATCTAACTAGCGAAATTTAGTGAGTATTACCACAGGTTGACGGAATTATTAATTCCAACCGTTTCCAAACTTGGTATTATTATATCGACTGAAGGAGAATCGGTTTCAGGCAAGTTATTCGCCCTTGAATTAGAAGTCGGATTCAGACCACATGGTCCTAACAGACTTTAGACATTACACTTAGTCATATAGCTTAGGCCTAATGTTAAATATTTTCCACGTTACAGTCGTATATATATACCCACACTAGTCACCCATAATGGCCACCATAGTGACGTATACCACCTAATGACTACAGTCTGATTACTACCAAATATAACTAACTAGTAAACATTGTGTATATAAGTTGACGACTTGTGTTTGCGTCATACATGTGCATTTATAAAAGTAATTTGTTCAAAAGTCAACGATAATAAGTTTACAGTATCGTGTTCAAGAGGTGAACCAGTACCAGACGTACGTGTTATCAGACCCACTATGGATGGTTGTATTTGTATCCAGTTCATGTGATAAACCTACACCGGTACTACCATAAAACGTTATATCTGATGGTGAAGGTTATTATAAAATGTTATTTTTGGTGACGAAGAGTATTCTAGAATATTATTGCTGGTGATGAAGAATATTCTGGAATATTATAATTACTGGTGACGAACAGTTTTACAGAACATTATATTTGATGGTGAAAAGTACATGCACTACATAACTTTGAATCTGGTGATGAAAAGTATTTATTGAACGTTTGTAACACCTTCTTACAGATAACAGAATATCAGCATAATTATAAGACCTTTATTGAGAACATGAAATAGACATAAATCGAGAGGCGCTCTATCCCAAGTCTTACTTGCTGTCAGTAAACGTCTGTTTATAAAGCCTCTAACAATTAGCTGAGGTGGACAGTAGTGATAATCATATATGGTATTGTTTATTATCAATTATGGTGTTTGTAATTAAACTGCATATTTCTTTAAAAGTCATTGTCAGGTCAAGGTATATATGATACATTCTCTTTGAAGTTCAGTCTAGTGTTACACGCGGATCATGTGTAGCTTGTTAAAGAACATCTTGAATTAACTAGATGTTTATTAAGAACGTGTCTTCACAGAAGTTGTCGAGAGTTTAAACGTCAACTTCAGTTATAGATCAGATTGTCACACCAGGTTATTTATTAAAAATAAATAACGAACATAATATAAACGTCAACTTCAGGTATAAATCACTCTGTTACACGTTATTTATGGGGATGGAGAGTATTCTAGAACGTTATTTACGGTGATGAAGTGTATTCAAGAACGTTTTTTTTTTGGGATATGAAGAATATGCTAGAATTTTATGTCTGGGTATGAAGGGTATTCTAGAACGTTCGTCACGTTGATGTAGTGTATCACAGAACATTGTTTCTGTGCATTATTCGTCAGGAAGGAATATATTGTCATTCAGTTCAAGATAGCCGTCAGACCACAGATGTTTGTACTGGTATCCAGTTCACGGGACAAATCTTCATGTAGACTCGCCAAGGATGTTTGTACTAGTATATACTTCAATTGTTGAATCTACAAGTTACATCTGTAGCAGATACATCAGGAAGGACTGTACTGTTATCTAGTTCAAGCGTAAGGGGTGTTTCAGCATAACACCCACCACACCAGCCCCCGCAAACCGCTTCAATAACATGATCACTACTTCTGTTAAAATATTTCATTCCAAACAGGTAGGTGCTGTTCCGCCACACAGCAGTTCTATTAATCATCAATCCTGTTTCGTGTGTGTCTATCTTGAAATATCCAATAACGGAATCGGCACATGCACCATACGCATTGCTGCAATCTTGGGCATTTCCGTACTCGTGATTAATCCCCGACAAAAGTCGGGCGAATTGGTAGTCACTTTGGTTTATAGTCATGTTACTTGTTGTAATTCGAATTTTATCAAATACTGACTCACCGCTATCTGTACGATCTGTTGGTACCAAATCACAATTAGAGCTACCCGCTTTCTTGTCTGGCCACAGAACCCTATTCTCTTTAGGTAATGTAATGTAATCCACCGGCTTTTCTGTGGCCAATCCATGACAGTACACCTTCACTTTTTCATCATTACCAAATACATTAGGATATAACCAGTATTCGCCATCCTCGTAGCTTGAATCACAATCTTGGATGTTTTCACAAGAGGAAACCCGTTTACAGTGCTGCCCTTCCCATATCCCTTTATCCGAGCAGGTCAAGGTTGCGACTTCGGCTGTCACGCCAATCCCCGTGCAGTTATAACTAGCTGCATAACCAGTTACCGTTCCTCTATATTCTACACTCGAACCGAATTCGATTGCTGGAGGTATCCCGCAATCATTTAGAACACAGCGTGATCCGTTTAGTTCAGGACCACATCGATGATTGGGTGGACAATTGACATTCCGGCATGTTTCGGCAATAGCAGTCACCCAGTCTGACTTTGCGGCATAGAGATAGCCTGGCTTTGAAACTAGAGGCAGGGATGGTCCAGCTATAGATCGTGTTAATTCACATTGTCCAGATTCAGTATCAAAATTAAAAGATAAACAGTTGGTCTGATAAACACATTCTCTAGCACAGATCATTAATCCTGGAGCTGTGAAACTTTGTATTTTATGATTGGGTAACATCTGTCCTATGGTAACATTATGTAGAAGGCTTGTGTCGGTACAGGACAGGTGCGAGTGGACAATTCTGTGTACATTTAGAAGAAAGGTTATTCCTAATATGAAACACAGT